TGACTTCATTCAGTCTTGTTCCCAGGGGATACAAGCCTTGGGAAAAAGTTTGGTTTTTGTCCTCACTAATACTATCAGCTGTGCAGGTTCTTATGAAATTGTCAGATAACTCTCGTAACTTTATAGGTTGCAAAAGGTGTATGTGATGTTTTTGGGCTGTAAGAAGGATAGATGAAGTCAAATATAATTTTTATTTGGAAAATAATTGATTCATTTAACTATTATTATTATAACTGGAAACTCAAAATGTTATTTGATTTTATTCACATTTAGGCAACAGGGTGGTCTTTCTTTTTTTGTACACACCTCTCTAGTTATGGTGCAATTCTCATCTGTTGAGGGTTATGTTTTTGGGCTCTAGGAAGGATGGATGAAGTCAAATATATTTTTTAATTAGGAAAATAATTGATTCAGTTGTGATTTGTTAAAAAAACTTTTCAACCAAAACCTAAACTTCTGTGAACATTTACTTTTAGCTGAAATTGCAAATACACTGCACTAGTAGTTTAAGCTCTTAAACACTCAAAGGCAAGTAAGTATTACAAATGTACTAAATTTATTGAGATAGCAGTGACATGATTAAATTACTTTCCTTGTGCTCTTCGACTGGCCTCCTGTCTCATTCACAAAAAAGATCATCTACACCAATCACACCAACAACTATTAAAGAGTAATCAAATTGAACTCAATTGTACACCCTTTTGCATTTGGAAAACCAATCAATGTGACTTCCCTTCACACCACACAACCATATTAAGACTAGGGTGCTTCCATCTAAGTTACAGAGGGAAAAATGACAGGAAAAGTTGTCTCAAGAACTCGCTCTACTATTGTTTTCAACGCATTTTCCTGCTTCACTTTTCTCACATATAGCAGCAGTTTTCCACTTCACACAAAAATTTTCTGAACACATGCAGACAAAATGCCTCTCTGGTTGATTTACACAAAAGCCCAGAAACTGCCCAAAAACATCACATACACCTTCTGCAACCTTACTTTTCAACCTATTAAATTATGAGAGTTATCTGACAATTTGATGAGAACCTGTACAGCTGATAGTATCAGTGAGGAAGCTCTCATCCTGGAAGCTTAAACACTATTAAGGAATTTGACTGATCACTCCTCACATTCATTTTCAGTGAAATCTGGACAGAACTTCTGAAAACTTTATTGGTAATTTTACCAATTTTACAAATAAAGTAGACATAACTCCCATCTAGCATATTAGTCTAGTCAAGTTGTGTACAGAGAACAAAAGACTAATAATTTAAACCAGTAGTAAGCTTCTGGGAGTAATGACAAATTCTTGAATAACAGCTTTCCACAGTAAATGTCACTGCCAACCATTCTGGCTATACTTAGCAATTATTCCACGAGCGTGCATTGGATATGAGATGATAGATAGCCAACGAGGCGCGTAGTGCCGAGTTGGCTATAATCATCTCATATCCAACAAGCACAAGTGGAATAATTGGTTTATTAAAAAAAAACACTCCCAAGATATTAGACAAATCTTCTTGTCTTTATTTTGTAAGAAGAAACCTGATGTTTCCATGTACAGATATGAGATTATGGTATATTGGCTCATATACCATAATGGCTAAACCAATAAAAAGTCTTAAATTGCATATCCAATGATCCAGTTTTTAATAATACCAATTAATGGGTCACTTGACATCACCTTAAACAGAAGAGAACATAAAAGTTAATTCATATCATCAATCTTAAGAAATAAGAATTTCATGATCACGAAACATACAGCAAACTGAAATATAACTCAACTGCTTTGAAATTCATAGTGCACTTCGACTCAACATTCATTTCACAATGCAAAGCATTCTATTGAAATGAACAGGACAGAATACAGCTGACGCCACTCGTTTCGAATAACACATGAACATGAAGAAAACGGCACTAGTTTTAGTCATGAGACAAAGCCCACGAATTTTTTTGAGGTAAATGGACTAGTTAGACCGAAAGCTAGATGAATAAACAATTAACTGACAATAGT